AACAATCAAAGCGAGAAATTAACAAACAAGAGAAAGAAAGAAGGAAGGACAAAGTGATAACACATAACAGCAGTACATTTCACCAAGAGTTCATGAAATCCAGAGTGTGCAGCTCGGATGGGTGGCTGTCACTGCAGAATTCCGTGATTACATCATTTTAGTGATGTAGCAGGATTCAAGCAGGTCTCTTTCTGCACAACTGCAGCTCAGCTGTACGCATTTCCCGCCTCAGATCTGGGCTAAATATGATGTAATCACGGAATTTCGCCGTGACAGACATCCATAGCAGAAAAGGCCCCAAGCTGCACACTCTGGTTTTCATGTACTCTTGATTTCACTTAGAACATTAACGTCCAAGCTTGGCTGAACCAAACACGACACGTTACTTGAACAATTTCAACCCAATTATACTATCTTTCTGTACACACAAATTTGGCTTATACAGACGCTGATACATAGCTTCCAACACTTGTAACTAGTTTCAGTGAATATAATACACAAATGTCGTTTCAGCTAATTTTTTTGATTGCGGTTATCAAATTATTGTCTCCTCGCCGTTTGCTTCTATATGAGATAGGCTTTAATACAAGGCACTACGGTATATCATAATTAGTACAAGCCTTCATCCTGTTGGTAAAAGCGCATAAATGAGAATGTGTGTGACTTTCACAGGCCCCAAATATAGAGAAGGATTCGTTACCCACTAGCAAAATAATGGGATTAACAGCTTGTCCTTATAGTGCTTCAACCTTGAAAATTTGAAAACAAGTCGGACAGAAAGGGTTTTTTGGCCATCGTAATATTTTTCTCCTGTACCTGAGTATGTTGTACATGTCTGTGTGCTGTGCTGTGTTCAGATTCCAGGACAAAGTGCCTGGGTACGGACAAGGTGATGTACACCTGGACGGCTCTCGCCGGCTTGCCGTGTTATTCAGGCAGCTGCCCGAAGATAACCAGTTGGACGAAAGCCAGAGACGCATGCAGTGATAGGGGATATCAGCTGGTCGACTTTAAAACCTTCACCTTGCTCGGCTCAAAGCTTGGTGTGCGTGGCTGCGTAAAGTCATTGCTCCACGAGATGATGGTGAACAGTAACAGCAGCCCGATCACGATATGGACATCATCCGAGTACAATCGTCGGCGTATTATTTACAAGCAGGACAAGAACAAATCGAGTGGTGCGATATTTAGTGTTCATGGGTTCGGCCGTCACAATGTCATCTGCGAAGGTAAACAATTGCTTGTTTTAAAGCGATATCATTGGGCGGGCAAATGGTGAGAATGCTGAGTAGCACACAGTGCATTATGTCCAATGATAATGACGGGACAAGAAAGTATGAAACAAAGAGACAACAAGAGTGCAGCCACCTGGGTTTCTCACATCAATGGCACACCTACCGTTATAGCCAGGGTCAGACCCACACATGCGTAACCAATTGATTTCACCTGCGAAGAAGCATTTCATGCGTATGCTTGTGTCATAACCCGGTGTTATACTACTCCCTTGGTAGAACCGCTGAATGGTTTGCAAATGTGACACGGTACTGCTCTATGAAGTCTGGCGAGCCCCAGGCCTGTGAACATTGAACTACTCACTAGCTCTGGGCACTTCCGTATCCAAGAGATCGGGTGTCATCAAGCACGATATTAAATTCACAATAGCGAGAATTTCAGTTGTCTGAGGATTGCTTTAGGGGGCGTTCGTTTTTGATCTACAGGTTTGGGTAGAAACTACTTCTTTCGGTAGAGTTTTTCGTTTTTGAAAACAAATTCGACTCAAAAGGGTAAATTCTACTTTCTTCTACCGGCTCTACCGGGAAGAAGTTGGTTGAATCCGGTAGAAGTTGGTAGAGCCACGGGATTTCCAGCAAGATCAAGGATTTGTACACAACTCCATACAAAAAAGAAACATTTCACATACACATCGTGTAAACTACTAGATCTGGTAGAACAGCATTCGTACACTTGCCTCTACCATCTACCTCTATGGCCACACATTTTTATTTCTATGTTTCTCGTCACGCACGCGCATACGATTTAGGAGTCTTGAAGAAAAAAAGAAAAAAAACTGTGCTGCACTGACTGTGCATGTGGGGACCAGCACACACATGCACATGTACATCATGTGGCGTGGCCTGCGCGACACATGATGCGAGGTCGGCATTTGTTGTGCGCAATCTAGCTGCACATGCACAGCTTGTGATAGAAGCGCCTACCACATACTAGTTGCTAACTATGGATGCTATGTTGCATGGTGTATTGGTGGATTTTAGTGTGAACAAAGGTCTAATAAACTTTTTTTATTTTTCCACCTCTCGCAAACATTTTTAGATTTTCAGGTGACGAGAAAACTAGAAATAAAAACGTGTGGCCTATCGGTAAAGTGACTCTACTCTACTAGGTAGCTTAAAACGAACACAGCTTTGGCCTTGCTATTTGCACGAAACGCAGCGTTAAAGCAATAATGATGCCGCTTGTCTTAGTTCTCTTCCGCCTATTTTTGTTTCTACCCGCAACTGTATATGCCCTTGTGTTGCAGCTCAATGGCTCCATGCCAACGATTCTGTATACGCCGCAGCAACTCCAGCACTCGGACCCAGCGTGACTGAGCAGTACGCAGAGGACGCATGTCAGCAGTACGGACTTCGCCTCATAACCAAAGACTGGTTACAAGAACATGGCCATGTGTTAAGAGAACGCTGGCTAGAGAGATTGGCTTTAGATAAGTCCGACGGATTAGGTTACCACGTCGCGCCAATCCTGGTCAATGGTCAGTCCCTTTACAGAACAGTAAAATTTAGCAGACAACATGTGACGTTTAAGAACGAAACAAGCCATGAGGATGCAAAGATTCTCTGTGTTAGTAAGTGAGAGAATAATAATTGACTGTCTTCTGCAATGGCTGTCCATGCACAAGCTGTGTTTGGTCCCTGTTTGTGCCGCTAACGTGATGAATATAGTTGTGCGTTTGTGTAAATGTTTCCCGTCGCTACGTGCACTGTATGAACAGGGCTTATGCCAACAATGTGCCCACTTGCAATGTGCAAACATGTCGTCTCCCAGCCTTTCTTGCACCCACGGTGAATCACAACATTGAGAACACTCCCAGAACTGAGATTCAGGCTGTGTTTCTTCGGTGTCTTCCCAGGGTAACTCCGAAGTCATTACAGCATGTTTTGATTCTAAGGTTTTGTTTGGCGCAATATCAGTTTGTGGCAGAGACGGGGGAGAATTTACTTCCTGGATTCCAATTGCGAGGAATCAAAATGCATGACAAGCTGAAGTTCGACATGCCACCAGGGTTGAGAGAATTTACAGACAACTTTTTGTTGTTGTCAAGAAACAGGGGGAATTCCCATGACTGTCACCACGTGAGGAGGTGAAAGTTTACTACTTGACGTGAAATCCCCGGCGAGGGCTGTAACCCTACTATTTGCCGACGGAGCTGAGAACTTTCCTATGCAAATAGACCTTTCGATTGCTCAATTCCATTCAGGGAAAGCCAAGTTCCGAACATTTGAGCATCTGCAGTATGCACTGCACAGTAATACGGATGTATCTATCGTACAGCAAGAGCTCAGAAACCGTGTTGGAAGTGTTATGGTGTCATGCATCCCGGTCTATGGTACCGTGCCTTGCTGTCATGCTTCCGTTCTATGGTACTGTGCCTTGCTGTCATGCATCCCGGTCTATGCAGGGCCTGCTGGAGAGCCGGGTCAGCCGGGTCACGCGCCCGGCTGGGGAACGGCACGACCTGGCTGAACAGATAACACCGGGTCCAGTCTGACCTGGCTGAAAAATGTCTCAAACTGACAATGGATTCCTAAAATACCGGTGTTTTACGACTCGCGGACCCCATCTGTTGCAAATGTAGTGCAATCGTACACACTACACTACAGTCTACAAGCGACAGAAACTCGGCTACAAATGTAGGGTCAACTGGGGTCAACTGGTTCGAGCGCGATCTGGCCAGCGGTGAGCAGGAAGTCAGGACATTCAAAGTCGATGGGGCCGGGGGCAGGCAGTCAAAAGCTGCGCGAAGAGAAAAAGAACTCACGCTTTATCGTTTACCTTCTATCTACGTTTGCGGACTTTGATAGTTCGCCTTGTTCTCTAAAATTTCCGATTTCCGGTAATAAATTCGCCTTTCTGTTTTCCTGCGTGTTTAACTTTTGAGCAGGCTTTTTGGTTTGTTTTTCTGCCGGATGATCTGACCCGGCTTGACCCGGCTGGCCTGCATGCGCCAGGTACACTTTGACCGGGCTGTGTTGAATGTCTAGAGCAGGCCCTGCTATGGTACCGTGCCTTGCTGTCATGCATCCCGGTCTATGGTACCGTGCCTTGCTGTCATGCATCCCGGTCTATGGTGCTGTGCCTTGCTGTCATGCTTCCGTTCTATGGTACTGAGCCCTGCTGTCATGCATCCCGGTCTATGGTACTGTGCCTTGCTGCCATGCATCCCGATCTCTGGTACCGTACCTTGCTGTCATGCACCCCGTTCTATAGTACCGTGCCTTGCTGTCATGCATCCCGGTCTATGGTACCGTGGGTGTAAAAGCCCAAGAACAAGTCGTCTTGTTCCTTCAATACTGCGTGACAGGTTTTTTTTAGATAAGCTATTATCCCCATTCTAGTGTTATAGCAGGGCTGCCACTTGCTCCGATTTTTTGGAAATCGTCCGATTTTTGATCCCCTGTCGGACAAACCGACCGATTTTATTTTGAGCACTTTTTAGTCCAGTTGGCCATTCGGCGCTTCCAGGTCGCGTTTGTCCAGTCATTGTACATGTACATGTACATGTAGCTGTAAAATGCAAATGTGTTGACCGTTAAAAATGTGTTCTGGGACCCCAACAGCAAGCCATTTTCCTAAATATTTTCACCCGGGGGACCCCCAGACCCCCGTCAGATTTTTCTCCTTCCAAGTGTGGCAGCTCTGTTATAGACTGCATAAGAGTAATCCAATATTGACTTTTATTGTCTTTTTCTGCACAGAGTCCTGTGGGAGCGGTGTTCTTGCACCGAACATGAGTTGTGCATGTAACCGCACTATGTCCTACGGTGAAGAATGTGAAAAGGGTAAGACAGCAAGCCATTAGGTTTGTGTGCATGTGTGTGTATATGTGTGTATGTGTCTGTATGTGCGCATATGCATATCTGAATGTGCGTGTATGTGCGTGCTTGTGTGTGTATGTGTGTGTAGGTGCGTGTATGTGTGTGCAAGCGATTACAGGGGGCAACGCCACCTGTCCGGTTGGTCCTGCTTTCACCGGACCACTTTTCGGGCCGATGTTTCCTTTTCTCTTTCTAGAGAGCTGATGGGAGTTCAGCGATCGATTGGGCGCAGTACCATGTGCATTATGTACACAGCACCGTCTAGGGAGACCTGCATGTACTGTGCCTTATATGTAGGGCTCTCAGGGACAGACTGGCGGCACAGGGTTTTTTTTTTGCTTCATGTTGATCGAGAGTCGGAGATGGCTGCGAAAACCTTGAAGGCATCTGTCCCTGAGATTTCTTATATTCCCATAGCCAGCAATGTTTTTAGTTTCCAAAACAATTGTGCGAGGAAACGAAGCCTGTAATGTGCGCTTCTAAGCCCTAACGGTTCACAATCTTGGCTTTCCTGGATTATGATAAGGGTGCAGGTTCAGTGCTTTGCCACACGACTGTCTATTCTTCCGGCCACAAACTCCACATTAGACAGGTTTTTCCGTGCATTTCGCCACCTGAAGACGTCACAAGGCCGTCTCCATCATCTAATGGTTTTGCAGTATCATCAAGACGGACGAGAAAAAAGTACTTTCTCCAAGTTTAGGTCATATCATCTTAACTGCAAGTTTTAAAGGGTAAAATGTCCAACTGAGACCAGTCCGAAAGTGGTCGCTACCGCCCTGCATTAGGTTTTTGTTGTTTTTATCAGAACACACACCTTCCAGAGAAAGGGATGAACACTAGCAAGAAGCCATCCCTACATCCCCTGTGTCTTGTTTGTGTTCTTGAGCTGTGAAATGTGATTGGCTATTTATACTAATGTTCCAGAAGGTTCTAGAATTTTGTTGGCAACCGGTTTTCGTAGATTGCTTATTGGTTAAGGACCTAGAACATGGTTGCAGGTTGTCGAACTTTTGTTCCCTTCCTTTCTTCTTTATTGTTGCTTCTTTACTCTCTTTGCTTTCCAAGTGTGTATATAATATTTCTTCTGTGACGATTATTTGTAAAGCTAGAAAGTGAGTGCTTTGACTTGAGTTTGTGCGTGATTGCCTCCGGGGGCCACTTACTACACAGTGACCTCCCGTGCATTATTTCTGCGTCACTCACTCCATGCATGTGCTTTTTTCCCTGCCTGTTGCAGCATGCAAGTGCTTGAACCAAGGTGAGTGTGATGACAAAGGTGAATGCAGCTGCCCTAGGGGATTCACCGGCCACCATTGCCAACTCGGTAAGTAGAAGCGAATTCGCTTTACTCATTTCATATGGCTGGCGTGGGATTTTTAGAGCGTACATCCATGTAAAAGTGGGCTCCCCTTTACCTTACGTGTACGAGTAGGCTTCGCGGTAGTTTTAACAGGGGTGACAGAGAACTAGGACATGTATACTGGTCTTTTTGAGTGCTCGCTTGAAATAGGAGTGTTGGGGTGAAACGAATATTCTAAATCGTACCGAATATTCTGTAAACGAATTGAATAAGTATCGCCGAAGTAGCACCAACCCGTTCTTCAAATTGGATACCGGATATTCTATAGTTTGTTTGTTCTCACATCACTGAAGAATATGTAGACAGTTCTGTCTGGTTCAGCCTTGTGAGCCATAGTCCCCTTTCCCAGCATGCCAACCACCGCATTCTACTGCCATGTACTCGAGGTTACTCAAAATTTCAGAAATTTTCGGTTCTCAATATTTTCGGCATGAGGGCAACAGGCTAGGTTAGGTGGACAGAAATTTTCGGTACAGAGAAGCAGTTCCCTATTGGATTATGTGTGTTAGTGTTTGTTTGGTGTCTTGAAATTTTATGTATGAAACAGACGCACCGAAAGTTCCGAAAATAAAAGTACACAGAAAATTTGTGAAATTACAGCACCCTAATAGAGAAGTTCGGCACTACGTAAAGCTGAGCAACTTTACGTTAGTGGTACATATTTAGGACTCTCTAGCCAGGTCGACCCGGTCAAAAACTGCCGCGTTCCAAGCTGCCAAGGGCAGGTACGTGATTCGAAAACTCCATCAGGCGGAACACAGGTCCGCATGCAGTGGGACTCTCCATTCATCGACTAATTATGTTGAGCGGAACCTCTCTAATGTTGTAAACTATAACCTCACACGGACCAAGTCAATGACTGCAATATTAGGCTGCGTTTACATGAAAATGCACGGCCAGTTTTCCATTTTCGGTCCCGCATTTCTTCTTTCGTTTTCGTGCGTTTACATGATCAAAGCTGATCCGAGGTGGTCTCCGTTTGTATCGTTTTCGCGCGTCTACACGGGAGCAAAGGATCCGCAAACGTTCGTCATGTGCCAAGTGTTGTCGTGGAAGCACCAATCACACTCCAGGAATAGGCCACAAAACAACACTCGTCACATGACGAAAATTGTAAAAACAATATTTTGGATTGCCGGATCTGTGTAAACGGCCGAAAACGAAAAAAACGTGACGGAAAACGAGGCCAGCATACCGTTTCGACTGTTTACACACTCAAATTTATCCTTCAGAACATTTCCGTTTTCAAATTCTTCCACCTTGGCCAGCGTTTTGGTTTTCTTCCATTTTGGTCTACAACTTTTACGTTATGCTCTTCGAACCGTGTAAATGAACCACGCATCCGAAAGGATTTTGTTGCGTTTTCACCCCCAGCTTTGTCGTGTAAACGCAGCCTTACTTGCACATGCAAAATGTCCAAAACCAAAACACTATGTATTCAGATCTGAACCGAATGCTTGGAATTGTTATCCAAAGGAACAATTCCAGAATATTCAGAATTCGTTTCACTCCTAAATGACACAACAAAAAAGCACGAACAGTTCTCCGGCCACACTCCAAAATAGCAATTTGTGCTACTCCTGAACTGTGAACTGTTCGTGCTGTCGTCTGCAAATGCTCTGGTTTGGTCTGGTCTTATCAAATGAAAAACCTATTACCACCCTCTGTCTTAAGTTGGTCATGTCACGTTGTGCTTCTGTCGTCATTTTGTTTGTTAGCAAAGTTTCAATTGTCTGAGTGTGCAGAGCAGTGATGATAATTGACGCTATCTACTGATAGCACTGATTTGTAAACTGCTGCTTGTCATTCCTGCTTTAAGAGTGCTTACCTTCCAGCAGCAATTCTATCTTTTGGAAGAAGGCCATTATGATCGAAACCCAGATTTATCCAAGTTTCCCTGGTCCAGCCTCTTTTACTTTATAATTGTCTTTAGTCTGCCTGACTCCGTTTCCGGCTGATTCACTCTCTCGTGTTCTTCCTCTTCGGTGTGTGCTATGTGATGGATGCAGTTGTGTGCGAGGAACCCTGGGTGAAAAAGAGCAAAGTGTGTGAATGTCAACCGGGACTAGATGGACCCAACTGCACAGAAGGTAAGGGCTAAAGAAAGCTACTGTAATATGCCTGCGTGTCAAATAATGTATGATCCATGGGTTCATGCATGCTGGAATGTTGTATTCGGAGTCGAGAAGAAGAAAAAAACTTCCGTGTCCTCATGCCAGTTCCTCCAACCAATTCTACCTCTTTATTCTATTCATGTGGAATAAATAATGCATATTTATGGGGAGTTGGTCACTCTCATGAGTTGAGCTATTTTGTTGTCAAGAGTTAATTTAACGTCTCCATGTTATCATGTTCAAGGACATGTCAAGAACCCGCTTTTCTGTTCCTCTCTTTGTGCTTTTTTGGAAAATGCGTGAATATTCCCAATCACTGCTGCAGCATGTAATTGCTTGAATGAGGGTCAGTGCACTGACGATGGCAGTTGCAACTGCCGGAACGGTTTCCATGGAGACAAGTGTCAGCATAGTGAGTATTATGCTGTATGAAGTGAATTCCAGTTTGCTGGCATATTTCTGTGAAATGTGGGAATACCTGTACACATTAAAGAGACGTTGGTTTTTTGATCTACAGGTTTGGGTAGAAACTATTTCTTTCGGTAGAGGCGTTCGTTTCTTCTAGTCAAAACTTCAAGTCAAAAGTGTGGATTCTACTTTCCTCTACCGGCTCTACCAGGAAAAAGTTGGTGGAAACCGGTAGAAATTGGTAGAGCTACGGGATTTCCGGCAAGATCAAGGATTTGTACACAACTCCATACAAAATAGAAACATTTCACGTACATATCGTGTAAACTAATAAATCCGGTAGAATAGCGTTCGTCCACTTACCTCTACCTTCTTCCTCTATCGGTAGAGTGACTCTACATTACCACGTAGCTAAAATCGAACGCAGTTTTTAGCTGAGAGCTATTAGAATGGATATGCTAAGGTCTGATCCTTCCAACAAGGTCAAGATGATGAAAGTCTATCAAGGTGAAATGAGAGGACAAAATGAAATGTTTCGTCTTGAACTGTGGGTCAAACGATACCCGGAGAGAAAGTGCGCTGGAAAGTCAGTTTGCTGGAGGAAATGGAGCTAAATGGGTGAGTGGTATTTGCATAGGTATATAATTTTCAATTGAACTATGGTACCGCTACCTAGGAAGTGTTTATCTTGTTTATGTGTGCTTTCTACTTCACCTGACTGTGCCTTTCATGTGTACTGTGTTATGTTCAGCTTTCAAGACAAAGTGCCTGGGTACAGATAACGCAACGTACACCTGGATGGCTCTCGCCAGCTTGCCGTGTCATTCACACCTCGACGATGACAGCTGCCAGAAGAAAACGAACTTGATGCATGCCCGCCAGATGTGCACAAGAAGAGGATACAACGTGGTAGACCATGATTCCTTCACCAATCAGACGCTTGGCGTGCGCGACTGCATGGGAGCATTGCTCAACGAGATGGTGACGAGCGGTTACAGCAACCCTACTTCAATATGGACATCTTTCGAGAAGGATGACCAACATCTCATATACCAGCAGGGCAAGAACAGTTTGACTAAAGAATTGTATGATAGTGATGGAACAAGCCATCATGATGTCATCTGCGAAGGTAGGCTGTTGGATTGTGATCAAATGAACCCGTGAGAGAGATGCTCAGTAGCCAGCAACCATAGGGTAGAAAGTAATACTATGCATGGTTAGCATTTTACCGTTCACGCGATTTGCGATGGTCGGCCTGTACCGGTTTGTTGTGTGTGTAGACATGGTTAGCATTTAACCGTTCACTCTAAATCCAACCGTACTCGTACCCAACACCCAAAATACCGTTGGTTTGGTACCGTTTCGACGATAGAAAGCTGTGTTTAGCGGAAGAGCGAAACGGTAAGATTCCAACTAGGGTATGTCACAAGTCGATCGTTGTGTCAGAAACCGAAATGCTAACCAGTGTCTTGAAAACACACACAAAATGGTACAGGCCGACGTACGGTCGAAGTGAACGTGAACGGTAAAATGCTATACATGTCTATTGACAGGGCTAGAGGACTGACACAGAGAGGCGATGCCAAGAGTGATTACAACCTACATTTAGGTTTCCCACTCCAATGGGAAAACCTACCGATCTAGCCGGCGTCGGACCCAGACGCGAGTTACCAATTCACCCCATCTGCTAAGAAACAGTTCATGTCTATGCTTGTGTCATAACCCGGCATAACGGTGACAACTGGGACGTTCATGAAATATTCTTTGCATATTTTATTCCATTTGTTCGTTAGAAAAATAACATGTCGTCGTATGCATCTACGCGGGAACATACCATCAGCCAGTTTCGTTCCCTTCTTCTCAAAACACTACAGGATAAGAAGGAAATAAACTAAGGGCATGTTTGATTGGTGAATCCGGATTCAGATTAGAGTCACTGGAGCAGTCAGACCACCAGTTACCAATCAAACAGAACGGCGAAAATTTTTCCTGAAATATTGTAGAACTCATGAAAGCTCACCATGCCGCGAACTTCAAAATTTCCACAGATTTCAAAGATGTTTACATTGCTCAACATGCGAAGGCAAAACAAACTTGAAAGGCAACTACAACCGGAGAAGAAGCTTCGAAGACAGCCAAAAAATCAATCATGGACGTGAGGACCGCCGTGTAATGTGCAAAATCATACTTAGACCTCCATGTACATCACCACGCCCTTTCGTAATCACTGACATGCCAAAATCTATTCGAATCAAAACAAAAAACGAAACTCATTGCGTAGTCCTGTAAGGTTCTCATTGGGCTTTGCAACAAGTTCTGGCTGCTCCAGCCTCTGGGGTCGGAGTGGTCAGAACATGTTCTGAACACTACAAACCTAGAGCAGACCGGTGCAGACCAATCAAACGGCCCTGTTCTAAACGCCCCTGTTCTGGATCCGACCAATCAAACGGGCCCCAAGAGACTACAACTATAAAGATACAAAGTTAATTTGTTCATCACATTATTATGTCGGCATCGTACGGTTTATTCATAGCTTGGTTAAAACTTCTTTCTCCGGCACTGCTTTAAGTGTAGTTGCGCTCGGTGAAAATAGACCCAAAGTGCAAAGCTGGCTGCCCTGGACCAGTTCCGATTACATCATTGTATTGTACATGCGTACGCGGCCGCATTTGTCCCACTTCCACGGCGTCAATGGCCGCGCAAGTTGAAGGCACTAAATCTGCACGCTGGGCCGGGTCTCACCGAGAGCAACTGTACTAGGTAGAACCACTGAGTGGTTTGCAACAGTGGCGTACTGCTGGTCACTGAGGTCTTCCCAGCCACATGCAGCTTTAGGTATAGCAAGCATACTGCTCATCGGGATGTTTGAGTAGCAGCAACCTTCATTCTTCTTCTTTCGACATCGTTCTCCTTGTGTGTGTGTGTGTGTGTGTGTGTGTGTGTGTGTGCGTGTGCGTGTGCGTGTGCGTGTGCGTGTGCGTGTGCGTGTGCGTGTGCGTGTGCGTGTGCGTGTGCGTGTGTGTGTGTGTGTGTGTGTGTGTGTGTGTGTGTGTGTGTGTGTGTGTGTGTGTGTGTGTGTGCCCGGCTAATACTCAGGGTAGGGCTGAAACGATCACTGCAAAGCGGTTATCGATTACCTTCTTTTTTTAGTTCATTGCACTGACACTGCCATCAGACAAGGTTTCATTGAGTACGACTATAGAGTCCAGGGCACCCGTTATTCGAGTATATTTCATTACTAATGTACCTATTATCTGCCCACTACTGTATGTGCCCTTGTCCTGCAGCCAAGTGGCTCCATTACAATGACTCGGTATACGCCGCAGCCACGCCATCACTGAAACCCAACGTGACTGAGCAGTTTGCAGAGGAGGCATGTCAGGAGTACGGACTTCACCTCATAACCTATGACTGGCTGCAAGCACATGGCCATGTATTAAGAGAGCGCTGGCTAGATAGATTGGCTCTTCGGCACGCACCTTACCACGTCAAACCAATCCGAGTGAATGGCAACTCCCATTACATAACTGTAACGTTTAGAAATCGCAGTAATCCATTTCAAAATTCCACAATCAATCGCCACGCCAACATCCTCTGTGTCAGTAAGTGATAATTATATTTTAGAGTGGGTTTATCAATGGCTGCCCATGTGGAAGCAATATTTTATTCTACTCTGTCTGCAACCAACATAACGAAATAGCATATCATGTTGGTTGCGGACACAGAGGAATAAAACATTGCTTCATTTGCGCCTTTGATTTGCCTTATAAATGAAAGACCTCATCCCAACAAATGTTTCAAGAAGATTCCCAACCTAAATCACTTTTGCAGAGCGATTTATTGGGCACAACCGGCCGGTGAAAAGGCATGCAATCTGTCCTTATGAAAATGCCTTGAGTGTCAACAGGTTTCGTCCAAACATATCTGTGCCATCATGACTTATACCAACATGCATTGTGGCAATGCAGATTGGGACAACAGTAATTGTGCCAGTATATCATATGCCAACATCTGCTATGCCAATGTCTGCTGTGCCGAAATATAACTATGATGTAACACCCACAGCACCACCTACCTCCTCGACCCAGTCACTCAGTGTGGGATTTCTGAATGTGTGTAGTGTTCGGCGGAAGGTAGCAGAAGTTCAAACGTTCATCTCAACACGAGGCATTCACGTTCTCGCGATAGCCGAGACATGGTTGACCCCGGATGTTTCCGATCAGGAGTTGTCCATCCCGTACTTGGAGCTATACAGAAGAGACAGACCTGATCAGCGAGGTGGCGGAGTTGCTGTGTATTGTCAGGAGTCACTGGCTGTTCAACAACGGGCCGATTTAGAGTGCGAGCTAGAGATGCTGTGGCTGGAGATTCTAGCCCCTGGTCGACATGGAACGCTCCTCGGCTGCTGTTATCGGCCGCCAAATAGTTCTGCTGCCTACTGGACCACACTGGATCAGAACATTGGGCAAGCTGTTCAGGGATGTCAGCAGTCCACTGTGGTACTTGGCGACTTCAATGTTGATTTTAGCAATCCAACTTCTCCATCTGCATCCCCTTTGTACAACATACTTTCCCACTACATTCTCTGCAATTATGTTACATCTCCAACCCGAGTCACGGCAACATCATCCACGATGCTAGATTTGTTCCTCTCATCCTCCCCATTGGATGGTACCTGTGAAGCAAAACACTTAGACATAAGTGATCACTTTGCTGTGCTGGCCCGGTTGAGCATTCACACACACCACCACGTGTCATCGTCAGTAAAAACCACCAGAGGTCTCCATCGAGTAAACTGGGGCAGTTTCAGTATCGACCTCCAGAGGAAACAGCAGCAAGACTTTGAAGCCACAGCAATATCCATGATATGGTTCATTCTTTCACTTCTTCTATCATGTCCACACTAGACCAGTATGCACCATTGGTACCCCAGCGTAAACGCGCACGCCGCCCTTGCCCCTGGCTGACTGATGAGCTAGTTTTTGCAGTTCGTAAACGTAATCATTTACATCGGCTCCTCATGAGAGATCAAGCGAATGTACAATTGCGTGATCAGCATAGAGAAGCTCGGGCCATGGCCCGTCGACTCGACAGGAAACTGCGCAACCAGTTCTTCACTGAACAATGCCGAACGAGCGACCAGCGCAAACTATGGAGAGTGTTGAATGTTGTAACTGGCCGTCAAAAGAAAGCCCAGGTCCCACAGGCATCCCTACAGGATCTCAGTGAAACATTTGGTAGTGTCGTACATGACCAAGCGCGTCCCACCACTCTTCAAGCTCCCTTGGGACCAACCCAACAATGTGGTTTCTCTGCTTTCCAGCCAGTCGCAGTTTCTGCCGTCGAGTCCTGTTTGAGTTCTGTGGACCCAAGTAAGGTGACTGGCAGTGATTGTGTGCCTGGCCTACTCCTACACAAGTTCTCCTCAATATTGGCACCCAATCTCACCAAAATTATCAACTATTCGCTCAGAACAGGCCAACTTCCTTCCACCTTCCAATCCTCACATGTCACCCCTCTGTTTAAGGATGGCGACCCAACCTCACCTACAAACTATCGCCCAGTTTCCCTGCTACCCATCATCTCCCGTATTCTGGAGGCATTTGTAAAGAAACAGCTCACCACCTATCTCGAATCAGCCCAGCTTCTACCCACCGGCCAATTTGCCTATCGTAAACAACGCTCCACAGAGGATGCACTTGTCCTTGCAGTCAACAGATGGTCTCTAGCCAAATCTCGACGAGAGTACACCGGAGTTGTGTTCGTAGATATGTCGAAAGCGTTTGATCGAGTTCAGCACGAGCGTCTTCTGACTGAACTCTTCTCTCTTGGCATATCTGGTACCCCACTCACTTGGCTTGCCGATAACCTCTCAGGCCGCTTCCAGCAGATCAGAGTTCAAGGACATCTCTCTTCTGCCGTTTATTGTTCTCGTGGTGTCCCACAGGGCAGCGTTCTTGGTCCCCTGCTATTTGTCTTGTACACTAGCACATTGAGCACGATCCTGCCACCGGCGGTAAACCACCAAGAATTTGCGGACGACATTACTCTCGACTGCTCAGACACCGACCCCACTGAAGTATGCCGAACCCTCAGCCACGGCATCACAAGCCTTGCCACGTGGCTAGAAGATATTGGTTTGCTGCTGAATGCAGCAAAAACTCAGCTTCTCTTCATAAAGCCCCGTGGCGCAGATGACACACAGCCTGAGGTGTTCTGCCATGCTGACAAACTTGCTGTCACACCTTCGTCTAAGTATCTCGGGGTAATACTCGATGAGGAGCTGTCCTGGAAGCCCCACATTGCACACCTGAGCCGCAAGACTGCTAGGACCATTGGCCAGCTCTGGAGGCATGGTCAATGACTCAGTTTGCGCGCAAGACGCACTTGGTTCCTTAGCATGGTCCTCTCTCAGCTATGCTATGGTTCTAATAGTTTTGTTCCTGGGCTTTCTGCCAAGTTGCTTGGATGTCTGGAGAAGAGTTTCAAAGCAGGCATTCGTGCAACCTTGCCACAGCGCTTTCTCACCCCCACCGCGCACCGCTTCTGGCACTTCTTATTATTGTCAGCTTGACACACACATACACTCAGAAAGTTCTAATTTTTGTACACCGCTGTATCAATGGATATTGTAGCCCACTCCTATAGCAACTCTTTACAACGACTGCTCCAAACACCTTGCTAAACGATCAGCGCATCACTAGGGGCCAAGTTTCCAACTTGCTCCAAGTCCCTTTCCTTCGCGGGCCTGCTGGTCGCTCGAGTATGATGTTTCACGGCAGTATTGCATGGAACGCCCTCTCGGCTGATGTAAGATTGATAACTGCTGCCGATCAATTCAAGAGAGCCCTATCTGATATTGACGTACTTACGGTAAGACATGTTATTATAATGAGTCGCAAATTTAACGATTGTCCAAAATTCACAGGTTAACGAGAAGATATGTTAACGATCTTGCAGTATTCTGCCATATCCACACACACCAGATATGAAGCAGTACGGCCTCAACGGATCTTATTATAACGAAGAAAGGTCATCCGTTAAAACGTTAGATTTGCTTCCTCGTTATATATACATGTCTTACAGTAACTTGTAAACTCTAAGTCTGCCAATGTTCACACATATATTCTTATGAAATGCTTCCACTACATTTTATTTGTTATCACAATTTAAAAAATTCACACAAATTGAGTGTCAGCATCCACACAATGTCATAACAAACATTTCTATAATAATAATTATACCGCTTGCATGTCTTTATCTCTATACATTTCCTCATATAGTCTCTTTCCCTCAAACCAGTTAATATCATATAATTTCCTTCATCTTTCTGTGAGAACCGAACCCATAGGGCGGTAAGAAGGCAATCATGCCTGTGCAATTGGTGAAGTAAAATAAAAGTCAACAACAACTGTGCCGACACGTCCTTCACCAACATAATTATCCTGCGTCAACATGTCCGGTCCCCACATGTCCGGTCCCCTCATGTCCTGTCCCAACATGTCCTGTCCCAACATGTCCTGCGCCAACATGTCCTGTGCCAACACGTCCTGTCCCAGCATGTCCTGTGCCAACATGTCCTGTGCAAACATATATGTGCCAACGTGAACTGTGCCACACCCGTTTTCCACAAAAATATATCCGGATAGGCGTGTTCAGAATGTATGTTGCACTCTCTGAATTTATATTATTTTTATTGTCATGGCATGATTCACTTCTTTGCATTGCATTACACTGTACTGTAGTGTCTGCTGTGTGCGACACGTGCTAAACGGTTCTTTTCTTGCTCTTATTCGTGTGATGGCACCACTCCCGCATCCATGTAATATAATTTATGGATACGGGTGTCGTGATTATATCACGTGTTTTGTTGTACGAGCAGTGTTACCAGCTGATTGCGCATACTCGTCTGGCCTGGAAGTTCGGCTTCCGAGCTGAGTCTTTTGCAGAGTTGTTGTTCTAATGTAGTATTAATATCCTAAAATATTTTATCAACAAGGGCATGTTCGACTGATGTGATCCGGTTCCCGATCCCGATTTTGGATCACTCGGATCCTCCCAGCTCCAATCGAACGATAGCTAGCACAGTTGGTCGTCGTAATGATGACGTACAAAAATGGCGATTGAAAGTTGCCAAGGTTGTCAAGGTACAGATCAATTTTTGTAATATATTTTGAAATTCAAATCTAAAAGCGTGAGCAAGCAGGGTTCTGGGATCATGTTGTCGCCTCCATAATAGGACCATTTCAAGTCCATAAAAAGCCGCTGTTCCACTTCCATTCCATTCCACGTGTAGCTTGTGAAGTTAGCTGTTGTTCTCCTTCCTCGTGAGGTCTTGTGCAGTTCCATTTTTCGGTAGCAAGCATCATGGACGAAGGAGATAATGAGATTCGCCGACGGAAAATCTGTGTCCTAGTTGGCTTTGTAGCTGTGGTAGTTGCCAGAATCCTGCAAAGTGAGGAGATACCGTCTGATTTGTTTGATGATTTTATGTACTGTCGCACCAACCTGGCTTCAATGGAGTCCTTGGATTTCGAACACCTCGACGTGTATCAGTTCCGCGGCAGAGGGTCTACGTCGAAGTTGTTGTGCCTCTGCAGTCTGATGCAGATTTTCGTGGACACTTCCGTTTGCACTGTGCAACAGTAGAAATTGTATGCACAAAGCTATCCCATTCTGTCCACATGGCTGTGCAGGGCAATGGAGGTCGGAAAGCCTATACCCGTGGCCAAGCAGCTTTTGGTTACTCTTTGGTGGCTTGGCAGTAAGAGCACCATCAGAGAGCTGGCAGACAAGTTTGGTCTATCCAAATCGACAGTATGGCACAGCGTACGGCGTGTGTGTTTTGCCTTGCAGGACATGGCTCCGTTACTGATATAATGGCCCCAGGGGCAAGGTGCAGAGAGGACGCAAGCAGAATTTCATTCAGCTCAGCACATCCACGGCGTCATGGGGGCGATTGATGGTTGCCATATCCCGATTGCAGCACCAAATGAGGCACCTGAGACATACCTGAACAGGAAAAATTCCATTCCGTTATTCTACAAGCAGTCTGCGACAGGAACCTGCTATTTACGGGTGCGTATTGTGGCTGGCCTGGCTCTGTGCATGATGCCAGAGTATTCGAAAACAGTCCCCTGAAGCAGTTGGTCACTGAAGATGCTCATCGTTTCTTTTCTGGAGAAGCCTTTATCGTTGGAGATTCTGCGTACCCATTACAGCCGTTGCTGATGACTCCCTTCAGGGATGATGGTCACCTCACAGCAAGTCAGACCAATTATAACTTCAGGCACTCGTCAACACGGATGTGTATTGAAAGAGCTTTCGCATTGCTGAAAGGAAGATGGAGGCAACTCAAGTATCTAAATATTGTGAATGTTGAGAACGCGACCCATATCACCATTGCCGCCTGTGTGTTTCACAATATGGCCATCATGCACGAAGACGATGTCAGTGACTTTCTTCAAGACCTACCTGATGGTGATGTACCTAATCCAACGTAGTATTTTCAACCAAACACCGGTGCCGCAGACAAGCGCAACCGAATTGTGGATCTCATTGCTTAACAGAGGAAGGCAGACTTTCACAATTATTGACTTTCTACTACTCACTTCGCATAATTCTGCTGTATTTGAGTAGGGTCCTCATTTCTTTCCACACTCTACCTTCCATGCAACTGTTCTCAAATCAAAGCATGTGTGAAAAGCTTTTGGGTGCCAGCTACTGACTGCAGAGAATGGCAAGGAATAGTGTCGTGCAAGTAGGCAGTAGTGTGTGATTGGTAGTCTTCCCTGCCACCCCATGCTTTAACGCAAACCGCGTCACACATACACGCAACCGGAAGATGATACTCGATATTGCGTAGGTAGTACTTTCTCATTATAGACTGTGAAATAAGCACAAACTCGAGTATCTTGAATGATACATCATTGAGAGAGGGATACATAATAATTGTAGATGCAAAGTATCATCACCGATTCATTGGTGTGTGTGTGTGTGTGTGTGTGTGTGTGTGTGTGTGTGTGTGTGTGTGTGTGTGTGTGTGTGTGTGTGTGTGGGTGTGGGTGTGGGTGTGGGTGTGGGTGGGTGTGTGTGTGTGTGTGTGTGTGTGTGTGTATGTGCATGTAGCATTGGATGTTATGTAGAAACACATGCTGTATTCTTCACAAACTCACAATAGATACATAAATAAATAGTACTTCGAAGTATGCCTCTACTGCTTTGCAAGCCTATTGACAGCTGCAGTAAGGTCGCCAAGTATTGCCATCTGGTCGTTGTGCTTATGCTCTTGCCAGGTTTGATCTTCACATTTCTTCTGCTTGAGCCATTCCAGGGCGTCACTGGACTGCCCTCCAGACCGCTTTCTCCTCTTCTTTACGCCTGTTGTGTATCGGTAGAAAGACTTTTCGTGGCTCTTTTTGTTGTGGTCCTTTCGTTTATTTTGGTTTGTTTTGCATTCTGCTTTGACTGGTTTTGGTTGCATGTATAGTTTGTACATGATCCAAGTAACGGTTACGTCATTGTCATACGTTGTGTTTTGTTGCGCGCATGCTCATATGCTGCCATAAATGTTAGTCTTTTTCTTCAGTTTTCAGTTTGCCTCGTCGTGTCCGGTCTTCTTGTCTGTCCGTCTCCGTCTTGTCAAGAAAGTATGTAGAACTCTTAGTTCAGTTTCGTTGTTGTGTGTGGCGGGTCGGATGGGCAGGGAGGCTGGGCCCCTGACGCCTGGACAACATAAGCGTGTGCACAAAAACGCCCTTCTCCTCATCATTAGCGGCAGGGGTTGCCACGGCTGCTGATGCACCTGCTGTAGCATTGAGACGGACTGGAGTAGCTTGCGGTGTGGTCGGAGCGGATGATACTCTTGCTTCACCATCCTGATCGTCCTCCGAATCCGACAATTCAACTGGACGCTTTGGGGGTCTGGTGACAGGAACCAGCATTTTGGGTGGATGTTGGGCTTCCAACCAAACGTAGCATTAATTTCATCATAGAAAGCAGGCGGCTGTTTACGGTCAGCCCCAGTTTTTTGCTGCGAATCCACATAGGCTTTGTACGCTTTCATCAGGTTTTTCCATCTGTTTTCACATTGTTCTGCGGACGGATGTAGTTCCTCGTCCGGGAATGTTACTGCAATTTGCTGGGAAATCCGATTCCACACACTCTTTTTCCTCCAGTTGATGTCTTGAAACAAGCCGTCGTTTTCAGACTGTGCCGAAATTAGTTCCAGCGTCAGCCGTCTTGTCCACTTGAAGCCAGGCCTACGATCTTGGCCACTGGGCTGAGGGGGCTTTGACGCAAGACTTTCAGCTGCCATTGTCAGGAACGAGAAAGATGAGGGAGATAGTGAATACTACTCCTGCTGAATGCTTTTTATATGCGAGGAAAAGTTGTCCCTCACGTCATTCTCACCATACTAGGATCATCTCTCCGGTCTGGTCCGGCCATGTTTGCAATTTCGGTGCCAATCTGGGCAATTTGCCGCCCAATGAGCCACAGTTGTAGAAGCAGTAACAGCAAACATTGGAGTGAGTTGAATTGGAAGGAAGCACAAATGGAAGAAAGTGAAAGCTCCACGTGTTGATGGCCCAAGTGAAAAGGGCGCTCACAGGCTCCGTATCTCCATATGTTGAATTTCGTTGTACATGTGAGCTATTTTTCGCCCAATGAGCCGCAGTTGTAGAAGCAGCAACAGCCAAAATTGGAGTGAGTTGAATCGGAACGAAGCATAAACGGAATAATGTGAAACCTCCACGTGTTGATGGCCCGAGTGAAAAGGGCTCCCGATCCCACGGGTTCCGTATCTCCATGTCCATATGTGTTGAATTCCGCTTCAAACGTGGGCTAGTTGCCGCATAATGAGCCGCAGTGGTAGAAGCCGCAATAACAGCCAAAATTGGAGTGAGTTGAATTGGAACGAGGCACAAATGGATGAAAACTTCCCCGTCGACTGTTGGTGGCCCGAGGGAAAAGAGCTACATGGATCCAACGGGTTCCGCATCTCCATATGTTGAATTTCGCTGCCACTCAGGGCTGTTTGCCAGCAAAGGATACGCAATGGTTGAAACGGTAAACCAAAAAATAACAAAGGAATGAAACAACCAAACTTATGCTGTGTAAGGCGTGAGGAAAGGCATTCCCGCGGGTTGGGTCCTGCCAAATGTGCAGTTGTCGTGCCAAGAAAGGTTTATTGGCGAAAAAGGATCCGTTGGATCCGGTCCACCCTGCTCCCCGAGGTGGGTTGACCGGATCCAAATCCAAAGGATCTGGATCCGGATTCGACCAATCGAAAGGGTGCGAGTCCAGTGGATCCGGTGGATCGGGATCCCGATCCTACCAAACGAACATGCCCTAAGACAGTTTCAAAACTGGTTATCCTCGAAGCCTGTTTTTGTCTTGCTTGTCCGGAGGCATGTAGACTTTCGTATGTGCGTAGAATAGTTGCAAACAAGGCGAGGGAACCGGATAATCGAACACACCTACTGTATGTATGCACTGCATATGCTGTAAATCGGTAACCAACGATTTTCTTCCGGATGGCAAGGGATCCGGATAAAAGAGGACCGGATAAGCGAGGTCTGACTGTCCCAGCAATATATTCAAACTTTGGCACTACTTCATGAAAGGAGATTTAGGTTGTGTTTTTGTTTCTGGGAGAAAACATTTCTGTGCTATTCACCCTGCAGACGTAGAATTATGTGATAGTATGGGGCTGAGAGCCTTACCGAGAGTATCATATACATTGGCATCACCTACAGCGCTGGCTTAGCAGCAAATGAGTTAGCTTAAATCGACAATGACAAGATACCTCGTCACGCACATGAAGCATGGACCACTGTACAAACTGCTTTACATTCGGTGGTGGAAGAAGTGGCAACATATTAATTTTAGTGTCCTTGCCGAATGCTTGCCGAGCTGACTGGGTGCTGACGTTGGATAAGGAATATCCGATTAGCGATGGACCTGCAGCTTCCACTGATATGGACCATTCAAATCAACACCCACAGTCCGACATGCCCTGATATAATTTTTTTAACCGGACTTTCCACTCAATTCAGTGTGTTGTGATGCTGCGAACATTCAAGTGTAGCGAACTGTGAGCGAGTGATGCAATGGAGCCTTTTGTGTTGTCTTTTCTGCGCAGAGCACTGTGCTAATGGCGTTCTGGCCCAGGACCTGAGTTGCAAGTGCAACCGCACTGTCTTCTATGGAGAATACTGTGAAAAGGGTAAGACTGCAGGATAAAACTGTCTAAGTCTGTGTGGATTATACATGTACTACAATGGAAATAACCCGCTGGTGAACGGGGTATACTGATGTCTATATTTAAGGACCAACAAAATCCGCGTGTGGCTTATACTCAAGTGCAGCTTAATTAAGGCCGATTCACAACACCACTTTCTGCGACGCGACTTGCGACAGTTGCGACTAGAAACTGTCTGTCCCGAGCTGTCGCTTACAGTCGCAAGGCACCTGTCCGCGAAGTTGAAGAAAGTTCAACTTTTGCGACATGTGACGTTCGACATGCACAAATGGAGTACAGTTTCTACCCTGGATGCTCATGCAGTGCACGTGCATAGTACTACTACACGGGTGTTTGCAGTGCATGAACTCTGGCCAGTCGTCCCCGTACGCAAAATGCGTACGCATTCGGATCTACCGTACATTTCCTCGTGTTTTGGGCGAATCTGAGAGGTACAACGCGGTCGAATTGGGCCTGAATTTGCCCTGAACCAGCCGCTATCGAAGTAAAATTAGGCATTTTGAAGGCTACACGGGAACGCTGCGGCCATGTCTTCTTTCCTGCGTCTTTTGTTTGAAAATCTTAGTGTTTTTGAGCTCGTAGTTTCGTCTTCGTTGTGGAATGGCCGTGCGTACATTCTCCTTGGAATTACCAATGTCACACCCCCGTTTATTACATTACTAGGAGTTTGCCCGGCAGCCACGATAGTTTTTATCCCTGGTTTCATATGTCCTTTCATTGAACAGCCAAACGAAACTTTGTGGCGCGGGGGTCTCAAGTTTGTCACTTTGAGTTGTACACAACAACCACATCAACACCTCAAAGAACCAAAAAACCAAGTGAGCAAAGTATTTCAATGTTTCGCTTTTGCCTGGCCTGCTGTGAAGATGGAGACTTCTACTCGGTAGCAGATACTCGTATCAATAAGCTGGGAGGGAGAGCGTGGCCAGTAAAATGTTAGGATAAAAAGAGCCACATTCTCTCTCGGAAAAGGTCATCATTCCAACACACTTGCTCTACCTGTAGTAGGCTAGATTTTGCATGCACGTGCGAGATTCGCATCCGCCGCGCACATAGCCAGAGTCGAAATTTTTGTACTCTCGGATTTGCTGCCATCTTGACGAGTGGCCTCTGCACACTAGTGCATAAGGATTTCGCATACATGAAAAAAAGATTGTGAACTGTGTGTCGCTGTCACGGCTTGTCGCAGCTCGTCGCAGGTGTCACAAGTCGCATGTCGCGTTGCTAGAAGTTGTATTGTGAATCGGCCTTTATACTCGAATGTGGATTTTACTCTGGAAAATACTGTACATAACCATGTGCTGATATCACGACCGTATTTCCACACCCAGATTTTTTGCCACGAATTGCAGCTACCTACCCTATAGTTTGGAAGGTTGCACATCATTGTGAACCTGATGAAGGCAATTTGCCGAAACGTTGGAATAATTGTTGTGAAATGAGTTGAACTATTGCAGTGTTAATGGAAGAGAGCGTGTGGGCTCTACTCTCAACTGTTTATGAAAATACAGGACGCCTCCCCACTTTTACTACCCTATCTATCGCCGTTAATTAATTTGACGCAGAATAGGCCTCACCCTTAATTTTTTTGGGTTGAACTAGTGATGTGTGTCTTTTATACTCTGGGAAATCTGGTGCTTGGACAGTCTGGCTCAACCACTGGTAACTTGTTTGTGGTTCAATTGCTCCCGTCATGCTTCTCATTGCATAGCATGCCGTGATGCTTTTCCTTGCCATTCCCTGCTCTTGTTGCGCATGCATGAACATATCGTATCTCTACAGACGACTGCAAGTGCTTGAACCAGGGTCAGTGTGACAACGAGGGTAAATGCATCTGCCCGACAAGATTCTACGGAGAACATTGCCAACTCGGTAGGTAACAAGATATTCATTTTTGTCAATGCAAACAGTTATTTCCACTCATTGCATATAAGGCTGAGGTTGTGATAGTTTCTTCATACCCTGATACAGATCCAGACCCACTACTACTATAATCATTCCGTTTGAATGTGGTGGATCTCCCCCCAGTGCACCTGGGGTGTTGTGTAATGTGGATTTTTAAAAAAACTGCTTAGACGTGTCGCACCCAATGAAGATCATGAATCATGTACTAACCATGCTGTGCTGTTCTGTTGCTATTTTTGTTGTGCACTGAAACAATATGTGCGTCATGCACTGCACACAATAACTGGTGCAGAGTGCAGAACATGTCTGAACCAGGGTCGCTGTAATGAAGACGGCACCTGCACCTGCGCTGAAGGATGGATTGGTGACCGGTGCCAGACTCGTAAGTGTCTACTTAATGAAGCGAATACGCTGCATTCCTTCGGCGTGCGTACTGCATGTTGCAGTTACATTTCTTTCGCTTTGTAAATCTATGTCCAGTGAAAGTAATGCCATGTGTTCGGATTACAGTACGCATTTTACACACACTCCTAATTTACACCCCCCTAAAAAAATAAAAGGTCTGTGCTGCTCACACTCCAGTGGTTAAATACACCGCGATGTAAAGGGTGGATGGGTATAATCTGGGCACGGATAATACTCAGGTACGGCGATTACTCTGGAAAGTATGGTACATTGTAGTAGTTGATTTGCCTGTCGTCGGTTGGACTAGTTGAGCCAATTTGCATGCATGAATGCCGGTCATCGGCCCCAGCAACTTCTGGTCTCCTGGCTTGTTGCAAAATGCCCATTTTGTGTCACCCGGGAAACATAAGCGGGACTTGATCACAGCGGATTTTGAGAAGTGGAGTGTCCCTGCCTCATTAATATCATCAAGAGTCCATAATCCCGCAGAGTGCGCAACTAGGATGGGGTTGTGGGACGGCGTAATCCGTGATTTACGTCATGTTTGGGTCGGACTTGCGTCATTGCGTCGACGCGGTCAACCACGGTTCACACTTTCCCTACTCATGATGTCACACTATGACGTTCAACACGGATTTCGTCCCAGATCTGATCAGTGAAGTTGCGCACTCCGGAGGATTATGGATTCTTGATATAATGGTTTGACCTTCCTTGCAGCCGCCGTGAATGGTTTGTCGATGATGTAAGCCGAGTGGAGTGAAGAAATTAAGCTTTCCCCAGTGGTCACTAGAACAGGTCGGAACTACAGGCACACTACATCGCCTGATGTGAGTTTTCGCCATCACCAGACCCCATAGAACGGGTTGCCAGGCCGTTGTAGATGTTGGATGGGATGTGTTCTGGTCCAATGGATTGAAATAATCAGCTCCTACTCAAGCCCGTCCAGCATCTCGACATAAAGACCAGTATTGGCCGTGGATTTACAAGCCAAAAGTCTGCTCCATCTGTCATGCCGTGCCCTCAAAGACTGTGAAAGTCCCTAAATAGTACCTCACATCTTTTTTTTCTCGATGTCTGCTGCGGGCATAATTTGCATGCTGCACACGTTTTTCTTTGGGAGGTTCGTAGACTGATTTCTTACTGTTATGCCAATGTCTGGCATACTGACCAATGTTGTTGTTGTGTGTTGGTTTAATGTAGGGTGTGCGGACACGGACCCATGCTGCGTGAACAAGCGCATCGTGACACGCCGGGATCAGGTCTGCCGCGCCGCCACCAGCGACTGTGACGTGGCGGAGTACTGCGACGGCGAGAATGCCACATGTCCACAGGACCTGACCGCACGCAACGGCTGGCCTTGCTCCAATAGTCAAGCATCCTGCTGGAGTGGAGTTTGCCAATCACGAACTGGCCAGTGTCAGAGTGTCTGGAACGATATGGATCAAGGGTCAGCTCCTGAGGATTGCTTCGCGATCATGAACGTTTTTGGAGAACGTACGGGTAACTGTGGTTTCAAATCGTCCAATTCCACCCCAGGAACCTATGCAGCCTGTGCGGCTGGAGATGCCCTATGTGGTAGTTTGTTCTGCCTTCCAGTTGCTCGAAAGAACCAACCCAGTAGTGGCGTTCTGTCCCAAACTATTCCCGTACGCGGTGTTGGCGGTGTACTCAGGTGCAATGGTTTGTACGCGTCCCCGCCAAGAAACCACGATGACCCATCGCTCGTGAAGGACGGAACACGCTGTGATGCCAGCGGCGCTAACAAGGACCTCGTGTGCCACAAGCAACGCTGCGTGGACCAGTCTCGAGTCACCAGTCAGTGTTCGGTCGATGCTGACAGCGGCAAAGAGTGTGGTGGAGTCGGTGTCTGTACAAATGTAACAACCTGCCTTTACCAACCCACACCTGGCAAGTTTTTTTTTCACTGAATACCACAGAACCATCAGATGCTGCACAGCGGGGGCGGTGACATATTGGATGGAAGTGGGGGCGGGGCAAAAGTAACTCCTCCAACCAAAGGTCTCCGAATCATCTGTACTAAGTTACCCTCATAGTGTGCGTTTTCAATTCATTTTTAGTTTCTGTACGTCCACGGTGCGTTTGGTTAGTACGATCTAGAACAGGATCGAACAGCTGGTGCACATGGCGCAGCCCCATGCCAACTACACGGTACTCCAGAAACAGAGCTCATTTTTGTGAAAAATATGCCAAACTTAGTACATACTTCAAAATGTGTATGTGTCACCATGGTGACTGTGTACAGTACGAAGAGTCCAACCCCAAAGTGTGTGCACGTGATCATTTGGGACCAAAATCGATGTTCCCGCCAGGTTTCACAGTGAAAAAGTGAAACTGCTCGGTTTGCTCCGGCCTTGAGGCCTTAGCAAGCAGAACATGTTCTGGCCGACCCAGAACAGGTGCAGTGCCAACCAAACGCGCTGTTCTGGTGAATCCTGTTCTAGCTCGTACCAACCAAATGCGCCCCCAGTTGGCATATGGATGCGATGTGCTACAGATCTTGGCTCTCAAACTATTGCTGCTACATGCAATGTACAAGCAACAAAATAGCTGTCACGCCTTTTTGAGAGCTGCCTTACTGCGTGTGAGCAAAACTCTGTATCCTCCAACCAAAATTTTCATCGGCTCACGTGCTCAACGTAGAATGGTCATTCAAAGTCCTCAGATTCCTGAGGCTCAAGCTATTCTGACCTCTACTTTGCACGAGCCATGCAACTATGACCTACAGGGAACGTCCCCTTTCTTGGGCATGCTGTTCACAGACGTGCTCGCCTCACACGCAATTTGTAAAAAAATGGTCGTATCTGTGGTTCGCTCTTTCGTGCTATTACTGTCCTCGCAATTGAAACAGGCCCGGCCAAAAGCGGTATGGTTGCCAGGTATACTAACCACTGACCTTTGGATATGGTTACGTGTGGATACACGGAATTCGCAAAATAACTTCGTAGCACGTCCTGTGGTACTGCGCTGTAGGACTGTTTGTCAGGATGGTTCATGTGCAGTGCGAGCGCAGAAGGACCGGAAGTTGTGTGCGGATTGGATCACGTTTTCCAGTTTGAATTTTCTTCACATCGCGGATGTTCGAGCTGGGAAGGCAGAAGAACAGAGGTTCGAATATTGAGGGGTTTTCAGCCCTAACGCAAACCCAGATTTTGCAAGTTCACAAGAGTTTTAAAAGCCTCAGTACAGCTCCTGAAAAGAGTTTTTTGAGTAATATTGATACGGTGGCGAAGACATACCTTTAATAACCAGAGAAATGGTGGTAGCTACTAGTTACTAGCAAGAGTAGATAAACAAGAGTGTGCAACTCCGGATCTCTCCTGCACAATCTGCAAATACCCCCGCCCACTGCAGAATTTTTGTGGGCGTCACCTTTTTTCAGAGAAACGCGCATTTTGCCGCAGAGCAGTGCAGAGTAGGCAAAGCCCGATTTTGCCAGTGAAGCTTCGATATTTTGCCGCAATATTTTGCTTTCTCATCGTTAATATTTTGCTTTCATTTTCCCAGGCCACTCGACATTTTTGCTCCCTTTTTGCCCCTCAAAAAAAATTGTGTCACATGTGGGAAAAGTGACCGAAAGTGGGTCAAGTGTTGGCAAAAATGAGAAAAAGTGAGTCACGTTTTGCTAAAACTGTGCGAAATTGAGTCACGTGCACCGTGTAAATGTAAAATCTTCAAATTTCCAGCGAACACATCGATATTTTGCTCCGTTTTGCTAGTAAATTCCCTTTCAGAATTCTTCGATATTTTGCTAGCATAATTGCTAGCAAAATCAGGCTATGCCTAGTCTGGGGCACGTGCTGGGCACTGGGCTTGTAGTGTAAGTCCGGCCAAGAGCACGAGGGAAAACTTTCCGAAAGACTCGCAGCGCGAGCGTCGTCGAAAAGATTACGTCATCAAAAAAATCTGCCGTGGGCCTACCCATCCGCGAGTTGCACACACTTGTTTATCTACTCTTGATGGCAAGCGGACCGAGCTCGGGACAACCTTCCGGGTTTTGAGCTGACTGCATAGGCAGGAGCACCGGTGACCTCAGAGTTGAGGAAATTCCTAATTTTCGGTGCCATCTGTATCGTAACTTGTTAGGGCCCGGTCACACATGCACTCGGAAGTAGTGGATCCGCTGAAGCGACGTCGCAGGAGCGAACAATACCATGGCAACGGCGAAAAGCAGAACTTCCGCCTCAGTGGAAACTCCAATCCGCTTCCTCCAAAATTTTCGAACCAAGACTGTCGCTTCTGCGGTTTTGCTTCAGCGGAAAACACCACGGTCTGCTGTATAAGGACTTACTACAAGAAATTTGTATGCGTATGATGCCCATGCAACAAAATGCGTGCAAGATGGTCATTGACCTCGTTTATTCTCCGTACCGTATGCACCACAGCCCACTTTACTCTCATTTTCCGCCGAAGTAGGAGTTTGCCCTGTTTGTATGCGTGACCATACACACGTGGTTTCGCTGGAGCGACACCAGGCTCGCTGTTGCAGAACCTCCACGCTGAAGCGAACCCCAGTGCACGTGGGACCGGGCCCTAAGTGTTCCCCTTTCAAATATCACCCTGAGCACTATGAGTTCAGGAGAGCAATATGGAACAAAAAAAGTGAAGATTTAAAGTCAAAATGTTGGTGGGTTTCCATAGTAATTTTTGAAATCAGATTTTGCGAAGAGTGGATGGTATGCTGTTGACTGCTTTGCTGAGATGCTTGTGTGGGTCATCTCTGTTTCTCCGCAACAGAGAGCAACGAGTCCGCCAACACTACCCAGGCTGCTACACCCACGACCAGTTACCCAATAACCAAACCAACGAGTGACCCAGCCACAACTACTCCAACCGAAGTCGTCTAATAGAGTGACGGTGATGAACAGTGCAGTGCATGAAGTGTCAGTAATTGTAACTAGTCACGCATAAACCGGGGGGGGGGGATACTACCGACAGGACTAACCTGGTGCCTTTCCACTTACCCACCCATCTTCCATAGCATCCACAATTCGGTCCAGGAAACTCGACAGGCACATGCAATCGGTGTTACTCCAACGGAACGTTTCCACAACGTGAAGAGCCTGGCTAACCAAGTGTGTTTCCAGTCCTGATAATTTCCTCCCATTGTAAATTTCAAATCTGCAATTTCAGATCAGTGAAAATCTGAGGCAGACTGATATCCCATAACCCGCTATGGCTGAGTATTTATGTCGTATTTTAATTAGTAATTACGCATCTATTATTTGCAAGATGAGGAGGGCAATAATAGATTGATCCCGACATAGCATACCTTAACTGGTTTAGCTTTGTTGTTGTGTATTGTACTAGCACATAGTATATACATAAGTCGTCTACATTACTTATTTATAAACAGATGTTCTCAGTTGTTACTTAGTCTTTTAATGTGTTCCCCAAGTTCTTTGACTGAGAATCTGGCAGTTTGGGCTCAAGTCATTTGGCTCCAGTTTTTTTCTTTTTTCATTTCTAACTCTTGTTTCTAAGTTGAGGAAAAGTTCTCAATCTTCGGACTTAAGCTCTGGTCACAACTGGTGCGTGTCCGCGTGAAACCACGCGTTTGTGCGTATTTTGCTGGCTTTTGGTGCGCCATGCATACGGAAACGCGCCCAAATGGAAATTCCAGCATGTTGGAATTTGCAGCGCGTATCAGCCTACATGCCATTCACTTTGATTGGCGGGGTCAACAAATTAGTACTCGAAGGTGTCGCACGCTCTAAATACGACACAGATTGCTGTTTGTAACAAAGCTTAGCAGAAGTACATAGCCCCCCAGAGTGTGCAACGCCTGCTCCAGCCCTGCATAGTCCCTGATACCAAGAGGCCATAACCCCCTAGAGTGTGCAACTCGTGATCCTTCTCAGCACAAATCAGTGCCGCAACGAAATCCAAACTTCATACGTCATGTAGTGAGTAGAGGATGTACCAGATATGCACATGGCCCCATCCGCCCATGCTTGACTATGGACCGGATGACGCAATGTTTGGATTTTGTTGCGCCAGACCCCAGCCTGGAGTTGCACACTCTGGGGGGTTATGGACTCTTGCTGATACTGATAGGGTCTTGGTTGAGCCAGGTTTAACAAAATTAGGACAGGTATACCATGTCAAAATGTGTGGAGAAGCAGATCCCAAACCCAGGTTTTGGAGATTTAAAGTGGGTTTTTGATCCTCAGTTCGGCCCAAATTGGACTTGCAAAAGCCAGCGGGACTGTTTCCGATGAATGGACTGTAGTAAAATCCCTTTTAATCAGGCTGCGAAAAATTCGCCGAAAATGAGACTGATCGAAAATCGCTACGCTTTTCGCCGATTTTGGAGGGTTCCTTTGACAATCGTCGAAAATCGACCAAATCTTCTAATAATAAATTATTTCACAAATTTTGAGGCCAACATGCCAACAGTTCTTTTAGCCGATTTTCCAGTATATTCCAGTTTTGCAGCCGATTGTCAAACAATCAACTGATTTTGCAGTCGAATCTGATGTATTTTTGACCCGAGCGAAAAGCGGAACAAGCGGAAAAAACGGGCCGGTTTGGGGAAAGCCTACACAGGGGACCTTTCCGAACCTGAGCTTTCCAAGTTGGAAGGTTGTTGGTTTGCGCCTTGGAGAAGTGTTGGACCTAGGTGTCAGGTCGCTGAATGTCTCAGTACTCCCGGCCTTGTCAGTTTTGTGCCATTTTGTCGCACTCGCTGACTGTATAAAGATCTGGTTACGTTGGTGGACAGTTATCATAATTTATAACAAACAAACCAAAAAACTAACTAACTAATACTGCGACAAGAATACCATGTAACAGGAGATGAGCCCTCGCCAATGAGAACGGTTTTGGGAAGCAAAGATGCAATGCGCTTGAGAAAAGCCGAAGCCTTGCCTCGACCACCCGTGCCACAAAACAGCAATGGTGCTGGGATTCATGCTGCCATGGAGAATCATAATCAGTAAATTGATGTTGCTGTTTTTTTCTTCTTTTTTTCTTTTTTCTTTTTGGTTTCCCGTTCCCGGGGCCTTCTATTCGGTGCTCTTTGTAGTTGTACTTCTGTACTGTTTCATGTTGAGCTACATGTATCCGAATTCCAATAAACACCAAAAAAAGAACAAAAGAGAGAAAAAAAACAGTCACATGTACCCATATATTTGGCGTTCCCCCTGAGCTACCCAAACAAATATTGTGCTTGACCGCATTACCGCATTCAGTATCTCCGCCTTCTCCGTTAACCTTCTCCGCAAACACAAGAAAACTAGAGGAAAACAAACAAATTCAAGAAGCAAGAATGACAAGAAAGGCAGAAAGTATGAGAACATTTTATTGTTATAAGCCAGCAAAATTTACCCCAGATCTCCAGTTTCAATTTCCAAACAACCCAGCACGGGAGTCTTCTGCAAGCTGCGCACTCTGCTCAAGCACAAGTCTGTGGGCGGGGGTATGCATATCACGAACGGCACACTGAGAGAAGTGGCAGCCATGATCATGCAGTCCCTGTGCCAACACTAGTTTCCGGCTCGGGCAGCTACCTAGTGACTGGAAGTTGGCTACAGTCTTACCTATCTACAAAGAGAACGGCAAAGATGCGTGGCCAGCTAACTACAGCCTACAGGCCTATCTCTGTATGATGATGTTGTTGTTGTTGCTGCTGCTGCTGGTGCTACTGCCGTGGCTGTCGTTACAGTCCCTCTCGTTGTCAGGAAATGTTTGCTTGTGCCATTCTTCAACCAACCGACTTCAATTGTCACATGACTGACTCACGGCTGCCATCCAGAGCACACGAGAAGTCCATCGAACCGTCCACTCGGCAAACCTGCAAGAAAGCACCACTTCCTACTCAATACACAGTGTTTCGAGGAATTCACCCCTCATCAGTTGAGCTTGAGTAGGCTGAGGAAGATTGTGCCTGAAGAGCACGACTTATATAGTGCTCTCTAGGCAAAGACATCACCAGGGATACAAACTTACAGAGACGCTCCGTTTCCAGCGCGAAAAACATCTCGTGAACACCAGATAGCAGCGTGAGTCAGTGTCGCTCTTGGAGGTGCTGAACAGACGCTGAGGACCGTTTGCCATTCACAACGTTGTTGCCTCCAAACCATCTAATTCGCATGCCCGCGCCGGGGACAACTCTGTGAAGAAGAGGTTGGTGCGACTTCGGCATCCTCACGACTGCCATCCAGTCCAGAGCACACGAGAAATCCATCGAACCGTCCACTAGGCAAATGATGAGGGATGAATTCCCAAAAACACTGTTTTTTGAGCAGGGAGTGGTGCTTTCTTGCAGGTTTGCCAAGTGGGCGGTTCGATGGACTTCTCGTGCGCTCTGCATGGTAGTCGTGAGTTAGTCAAGTGAGAATTCAAGTCGGCAGGAATAGCGCAAGCTCCCACGTATGGAGCAACACACAATTCCCCAATTGTCGCCGAGGTAGCACCAACCTCTTCTTCACATTCTTCATCCAGTTGAATTTTTATGGTTTTGTATGTTTGTATGCGCATTTGTTAATTTTGCTCCTGAAGTGTCCTTCTTGTTACTTTGCAACATTCCTCCTCCTTCCTACACCCCATTAAATATCACATTCGCTTCCATGTAATTGAGCTTGTAGCCCATGTGTACTTGCGAATTCAAATAAAAAACATACAATACAATCTCCCTGCTGCCGGCCGTGGCCAAGATTCTGGACGCCATCATCGCCGAGCACCTCACCAGCTTCCTCAATAGGCAGGGATTAATAACCGACCGAAAAATTAATTACCGACCACCAGTATGGCTTTGTCTCCTGCAAGTCAACATTCGATCAGCTAATTGTCCTGTCTTCAAGAGTGGCTAAAGCACTCGACAAGAGCCCTGTCTACCACGCTCTGTTCTTGTATTTTTCGCGAAAGCGTTTGACAAGGCACCGCACCCTGTTCTTCTCCGACAGCTCGCTACTTTAATATCCCCTGAAGCCGTTCCTTGGTTCACCAACTACCTCGGAGACCGGTCCTTCTGTGTTAAAGTTCTCTCTGCCAAGTCGCCGACCCATCTAATTTCTGCAGGCGTTCCCCAGAGTCTCACCTTGGCCCCATTGATTCTTTTCATTCTCTATGTAATGCCCTTCCTCGCACCATATCGTCTGATGTCACTACTGACGTGCTCTTATTTGCCGATGACACTGCTCTTGGTATAGCAGCCTGAGAACCTAACCAACAACAAATGGTCCACCCCTCCAGGCCGCCACTGGTGCCGTTCTGCAGTGGGCTGATTCAGTCGGAGGTTGCTTCAACCCCTCGAAGTCTTGCACCATGCAGTTCACTCCTAGAAGTCGTGCAGAACATGCCCACCCTACTCATCCGACTCCGCACCTTAGTATGCAGGGTCCTGGGAGATGACGTGTCTGATGTAGCGACTCACCGACATATTGGAGTCATCTTGGACTCTAACCTCGACTTCACCAGCCACATCACCCTCATCACGACACAGTCCCGCCAGCGAGTCGTCCTACTGATCCACATGACCAAGCGTATCACTCCGTAATATATGTAGGACTCAGTATAGAGTCCATGCACTATATGATGTCCAGCACCCTATATAGAGGCCATTGGTCCAAAATCCACTATACAGAGTCCAGGAGTTTGATCAGCTTCATCCTGCCGCGCAATCCCCTATGAGGAGTACACTTTTTCTACAAGTCCCCTATTCACGGTCCAGGAGTCCAGTTTATCCAGTCACGCCGTCCTGTGTGTTGTGCCCGAAAAAAAAAACACCTTTTCAGTTTTGCTTGCCTCGTGGCAGCGCATTCCTTTCTTCACTTCAGCCATGGCTGCCAGTTCTGCTGTGCAGTTGCTGACAGTAATCTGTCTCGAGGTAACCAAGGAGGATAAG